AGGACATATTTGGCCCCTATTAGCCCTTTTCATTCTTACAGTGTCATATCCCTTGCACCTAATACTTCTTTCTTAAAGAGGATGAACAGGAATAGGGGTAGGGAGATATAGACATGACAGAGATGTCTCAAAAGAACATAAGGGTTTACAATTTACAGAAACTGCCAGCATTCAATGGTCAAAATGGAACAACTTCAGTAACAAAATAAAGCAATAATGAGTCATAACCCAAAACATAAAATAAATAAATATCCATGAGTCCATAATGATGCCTATTGCTATCTCAAGCATTGTGGGTTTCTGTGATTCCAAGTTCATTAAGATGTTGCTGATTTCTAATGCTATGATCAGTGTCCCTTGAGTTTAGGGCCCTGTAAGTCCACATATAAAGCTCTAATGTTAGGGAAATCTTATTTCAGATTGTTCTGAAGGAAAGTCCTTTCCCTTTAATTTCTGCTACAGGTTTAACTTCTTGTAGCTTGGGCATCTTCCCTTCCATTTACATCACACTGTGGTCACAATGTTTCTCAAGGGAAGGTGATCTGTCCTGTAGATCTGGTATGTAGTGTTCTTTTTCTGGGATCCCCAATTCCTGCTCCTCTTCCTGACTCCCCTGAACTCTTCTCAAGGGGAGGTGGCTACGGTTTTCAACCTCCAAGCCTTGCCCCAAGGACTCCAGGGGGCACTTTGTTTAGCGCTTGCACACGCACTTCTGGGACAGACTACCTGTTTGGGTGATGAAGGACAAAGCTGGGATCCCCACTTCCTGCTCCTCTTCCTGGCTCCCCTGAACTTCCAGGGCAGCATCTGTTTGTTGAAATATGTCAATTGGTATGCTCTCACTTGGACCAAGAGGCAGTTGTCAGAACAGAGCAAGTTCATGGTTCAAAATGGGGAAGGAGATGTAGTCTGTCTCCATACCTTTTCAATCTGTATGCAGAACAGATCATCCAGGACTCTGAGCTGTACAAGGAGGAATGTGACATCAAGACTGGTGGAAGATTCATCAATAAACGCATTATACAGATGACACAACCTTGCTTGCTGAAAATGAGGAGGACCTAAAGCGCTTATTGCAGAAGGTCAAGGACAGCAATCTTCAATATGGATTGAAGCTCAACATCAAGAAAACAAAGATTCTCACCACTGGGCCAATTGGCAGCATCAGTATGGATGGTGAAGAGACTGAAATAGTTAACAGTTTTAGGTTACTTGGTTCCACAGTCAACACTCTTGGTAACAGCAGCCAGGAAATCAGGAGACGAAATGCACTGGGAAAGTCAGCTGTCAGGGACCTCTCCAGAGCACCGATGAGCACCGATGTCAGGCTGGAGGCTAAGGTGCACCTGATCTAGGCTAAAGTCTTCGCAATTATGTGCTATGCATCAAAGAGCTGGACAGTGACTAGGGATGACAGAAAGAGAATTGATGCCTTTGAACTGTGGTGCTGGAGAAGAGTGTTGAATATATATACCATGGACTGCTAAGAGAACAAACAGGTTTGTCCTGGAGAGGGTGAAGCCAGTCTGCTCTTTGGAGTCAAGGATTCTAAAGCTTTGTCTGACATACTTTGGGCATGTTGCAAGGAGGGACCAGTCCTTAAGAGAGGGACATCATGTTTGAGAGGGTAGAGGACAGTGAAGGAGAGGAAGACCTTCGATGAGTCGGGATCAATTCAGTGATTGGGGTTAGTGGGAGTGCGTGTGTCGGAGACAGTGAGGTTGGCACAGGATAGAGCAGGGTTTAGGGCTCTTATACATAGCGTCACTATGAGTCGCAATTGACTCAATGGCACCTAACAACAACTATATACATATATATATGTCTATGTCTATGTCTATGTCTATGTCTGTGTATCAACCTGTTACTGTTTGGGCTTTCCACCCCCTGTTGTTGTTTTGGGGTGGTTTTGTTGGGTTTTTTTTCCCTGATGCTGTGCATCATCAAGTCAGAACCGACCCATAGCTGACTCTCCTGTGGGTTTTCAGAGGCAGCTAATCTGCCTGGAAGAGGCTGCCCATCTTTCTTCTGTGGAGCAGCTGGTGGATTTGAACTGTGTACCTTTGCACTGCAGTGCAGCTTCTTACCATTAGGCCATCAGAGATGCCAATATATCAATACACTAATAATATATCACCAATAGAGGAAACTGGGCTTGAAATACATGAGAATATTTTGCACTATCTTTGTAATTCTCCTGTAAATCAAAAACTACTGTAAAATAAAAGTAAGTTAAAAAATAAAATCTAGAGATAATAAAAAATTAATTAGCACTGTAATATTAAAGACACTGTGGTTTCAAGAAGAAAAATCCACCCAAATTCATTCTCACTACAGTTATAAATCACATAGGAGGAGAGTGTACATCTTCTCTTGGAGCCACTAGTGAATTCAAACCACCAGAGACTGAAAAGAGGTGGAAGCGGTTTCTAAAAGGTCTTAGGGAATACATAAAAGACTCAAACAGCAACTTTGAAGTAGTTCCTCTTATCTCTGTTCTCAATCTTTTGAGCCTATTATCTTTGTACACTGAAAAACTCATTTCCTAACATTGTGCATATTAACAACACACATAATGCTGGCTGTGAGGGTCAGATGTCAACTTGGGTCATGGTTCTTAATGGTTTAGCAAGTACAGAAGTAATTAACTAACCAACTAAGTAATGGTTATGCACACTTTAGTGTTCAGTACTGCAATTCAGTACAGTCTCCATTACGTGATGTGATGTAGTCATCCTCAATTTTCACATTAAGCTTATTTTTGCTGAAAGATCTCATTTTGGGAACCAAGCCATGTCAATAAGTAAGGAGCATATGTTCATCTTTACCCTGTATGACATTTCAACTTTGGCATTTGCAACTCATTAGCAATTATCCTCTCACTTCTCTGTTTCTTAACTAAAAACTCTTGCAAGACAGCATTTTAAGCCAAGTACTAGGAGTCATAAATGTTCTCAACCTACTATGTATAGGTCCACAGAGGCAAGCAGTCAGTCGCCTGACTTTTATTAGCTGTGAACAATGTGTGCTACGCCCACGAGACATTAATTGTTGTTAGGTGCGATGGAGTAGACTATGACTTATAGCAACCCTATGAACAAAGAATCTGAACCCTGACCTATCCTGTGCCATCGTTACCATTACTAATATACATGAGCCCATTGTGTTGTGAGTCCCTATGCTGATCCATCTTGTTGAGGATCTTCCTCTCTTTCACTGACCCTCCTCTACTTTTCCATACATGTTTTTCCCCAAGGACTGGTCCATTCTAACAACATGCTCAGAGTGGTGAGATGAAATTTCATCCTCCTTGCCTTCAAGTAGCACCCCGGTTGCCCTTTCTCCAAGACATTGTTTTTGTTGTTGTTTTGACAGTCCCTGGGATATTCATCTTATATAAATTCTATAAGGTAGGGTGGTCATGAAGGTTCAAGGTACAATAGGGTCCCTAAAATAAATTATTATAAAGAGATGGAACCAGGATTTGAACCCAGCTCTGACTCTCAATTAAATGCTTCTCGCATTTGTGGAAGCAAAGTATTAAAATTGACAAAGGAAAAACTACAAAGCTATTTCCACATGGCCCACTTTTTAGCTACTAACAAGCGCTCCATGCATATTATAATCTGCATGCAATTATGATATACATATTACATATTAAAGTACGTATAGATTTAAGTAGGCCTTCCTGAAAGGCATTTGTTAACTTTTCACAACGATGAGGGAAATGGGATTCTATGCAAGCATTCATTTTCAGTTCTACCTACAGTTCAGGTACATTTGGAGTGTGGCCACTGGTCTCCTTTCACATATGCATTATTAACTCAAGGAATTCTCTTAGCTGGGCAGTAACATGAACAAAATAAAATTCCTGAGGCAAAACCATTTCTGACTGTGGGTATATAAAATAGAGAAAAGAAATTAAAAAGGCAAGAGTAATTTGATCTTACTAATAATTAATTAAAACCTAGGTGCATTTTTTTTTGCATGAGACTTGTGGGAGTCAGTATTTTTCTTTCTAAAATATACAAATATTACTGTTTAATTATACAACTATTTCTGACGTTAACTTGTCAAAAGGAAGCAACAGGACAAACCGTTTCTTTGATCAGTGTGAACATTTAACTGATTTAAGCAGTTTAAAGATGGTAACTTAAAATTTAGGATAGTGGCAGATTATCAATTTCTATTTTAAGTATTTGACCCCAAATGTCCATTAATGTAGCACAGCTTTGGGATTATACGAGGGCTATCATGCCTGTAACTACATTAGAATGCAAGTCAATGACAGACTTGTTTTACCGAGTCTGCTCTAAAATGCCAAACTAAATGAAACATCCTCAAATTGTGAAACAAGAAACTACTTACAATGCACCTCAAATGAGAATCTCTCAAGTTCACTCTTTCAGTGGGAAACAACGTTCTGCAAAAGCTTTGCAAGAAAAGCAACACAATGATACTTCTTGGCACTTGACAAGACAAATACCAGATAAACTCTTCTTTTAATCCAAATCAGCTGACTGCATTTTTTTGAGTACTGAAGAAACCCCATGTTTTTAATAATCAACCTCATCGCTTCTGTGGTGTCAAAAATAAATAAGAAACGGTGTGAGAATTAGATTAATTGCAACGGTCCGACCCGAGCCGGGGGATGGGGGGAACCACCTGCCCAGGACCTGCAGTTAATCGTTTGAGAAAACAGGCTGTGCTGCGCAAGGTACTTTCCGAATCATCTATTTGTTGCCTAGCTATTTCAAACAGGGATGTAACAAAGGCGAAAGGAACCCGAGTGCCGCCAGGGATCCAGACCGATCACGGATTCCATGAGGCCCCGCACGCGGCCAGCCGGTCCCCCGGCCATACACCCCTCGCCCTCCAGACCCCACCGACCTGCGACACCATCGCCCTTCCTTCACGAGGGGAAATGCCAGCGCTCCGCAGCCCGCCGCCGACTCTCTCCACCCGCCCCTCAGCGGCAGGCGCCCCGAGCTCGCACTCACCATCTCGATGATCTTAGTCTTCCGTCCCGTCTTCCTCTTCAAGGTGAAAATGTACTGGGCCAGTACCACCCCTGCCACTAGGGCGCACACGCTGGCGCTCGCAACCGCGCCCACCCTCGCCACGGCCGCCCGGTCCATGGACAAGGTCCTCATGCGCCTCCCGGCCACCAAATCTAGAGGCCACTCGCGGCGCTGCGAACCTCTGAAGCGCGGGACCGGAGCGCGCGCCACCGGGAAGCTACGACCGCCCGGCCCCGCGCGCCACCGAGAGGCTGAAACAACCCCGCCCCACGTACCGCCTTTCGCCCCGCCTCGCGCACCTTCCTATGCCGCGCGGCGCTTGAAGCGGAGAACGCAAGACCCCCCCCACGCCACGCCCAAGCCACGCCCCCGCGCAGGGGGGAAGCCGCGGGTGCCCCGCCCCCACGCGTCCTCCGAGCACCGGGAGCTAGCCGAGGGGCGGGGCCTCAGGAGGCCGTACCAGGAGGCGGACCTAGAGCCGACTCGGGTTTGAGCGCAGAAGTGAAAGGATCAACATTCTATACCACTGAGCTCTAGGGAGTGGTGGAGCAGATCTACTTCCTTCTACGGCCACCCGACACAGAAGTTGTTCACACCAGCCACCCTTCTGCACCACCCCGCACTACAGCCCCCAAACGTCGTTGCGGCGCAGTCGTGTGACCTGCGCAGTGGCGTTCAATGGAAAGTACTGTCACAGCAGGGGAAGATGGCTCGGAGTTATGCAGGAGTGGGGCGTGTCTATTCAGTTCCTGCTGTCTGTTTTCTGCTGCATCCGAGCCAGGGCCTCCTGCATCATTTCCTCTTCTTTTTGAGCAGCAAGATTTCTCATTGTTTCTTCCTCGTTTGTTTTTCCCTGCTTACCTCAGGGATGACAGAAAGTCTCTTGGGAGGTTTTCTCCCACGTTAGCTGGTGGTGCTTTATTTCCTTGAGAATATTTCATGTCATCTGGTTCTAGCTCTTATGAAGTGGATCTGCAAATTTTGAGTTAATCAGCCTCTGCAATTGCATGAGACAGGGGAAGCCTCCAGACATCTAATACACAGATTGGGGATTCTCAAACCTTCATAATTTCATGAAGCTTTTCCTTGGGGGAAAAAAAGCTATGTAGCTAATTCGTTGATTTTGCTTCTATAGAGAACCCTGCCTAGATATCTGGTCTATCCTCATTACTCTGGATGAGTTTTACTGTCTGTCCTATGTTACTGCACAACAAATAATACAAGTGGATGACTGTAAGTAATATAAATTTATTTTTAACCATTCTGGCAGGAAAAAAAAAAAGGTTAGATTGGTCTTGGCTATGTCGATGCCTACTTTGAGATTTTCTCATCATTTGCAATATGTGCGAACAAACTTTGGCATCCAGACAGTGTTCACGCGGTGTCTGTGTTCCCCTACTTGTATATTTCTGTGTTACGTTCTTTATAGAAGACACTGCTTAGATTAGGTTTAAGACCACCCTGCTCTAGTATAATCTCACTGACATAGCAGAGAACTCCCCAAACCCACTGCCATCAAGGCTACTCAAACTCTTAGTGCTCATGAAGGACAGAGGTAGATCTGCCTCATAAGGTTTCTGAAGCTGTAAATCTTTATGGAAAGATTGCCCCACCTGTCTCCTGTGTAGCAGATGGGGAGTTTGAACTGCTTATCTTTTGGTTAACAGCGGAGTGCCCTAATCACAATGCCACCAGGACTTCTCACATAACAGAAAAAAAAAAATCTATGGTTCCAAATGGTCATATTTCCAGGTTCAGGAATCAAAGCTTCAACATTTCTTTGGGGAGGATACAATTCAATTCATAAAAAATTAGAAATCAAAGCTGATGTTATAATGGTTTCCTGGAAACATAAATGGGCCTGTACCTGAGTTTTTCTGTTCTTTTTAGTGTTACTTTTCTTGTCTATCTTCTCTTTCTGCATTTGGAATAGAGAGAGAGAATTAACATATTTTGTTGTTGTTGTGTGCCATCAAGTCGCTTGCAACTCATAGCAACCCTGTGTACAAGAACCCTAAACGCTGTTCTATCCTGTGCCAACCTCGCTGTCTCAAACACGTTCATTCCCACCACTTCACTCACAGAATCGATCCATCTCACCGAGGGTCTTCCTCTCCTGCACAGTCCTTCCACTATCCCAAACATGATGTCCCTCTCCAAGGACCAGTCCCTCCTTGCAACATGCCCAAAGTACGTCAGACGAAGCTTCAGAATCCTTGACTCCAGGGAACATTCTGGCTTCACCTTCTCCAGGACAAACCTGTTTGTTCTCCTAGCAGTCCATGGTATATTCAACACTCTTCTCCAGCACCACAACTCAAAGGCATCAATTCTCTT